CCATATTTGACTGTAAGAACAGTTCATAAAGCCAGGAATTCTAGTGCCTGCAAGGTGGAGTCAGAAGAATCAGGAGTTCAGAACCGCCACTGTTACAGAGTGAGTTCAATATCAGCCCGGGCAAATGAGATCCTGTCTTGAAAGGAAAAGAAGAGAAGACTGGGGAGATGGCTCTGAAATTAAGAGCACTGGCTGTTCTTGCAAAAGACCCTGGTTCCATTCCCAACACCTACATGGAATCTCATAACTGTCTGTAACTCTAGTTTTCAGGGATCCAATGACTTCTTCTGGTCTTTTTAGGGACCAGGCACACACATAGCACGTGCATTACAAAAAGGTTCATTTTTGTTTTTGTTTTTCAGGAAAGAGTTTCTCTGTGTAGTAGCCCTGGCTGTTCTGGAACTTGCTCTCAAATACATACATATATATATATATATATATATATATATATATATATATATATGAAATTTACTCACTATTCTGGCTGTTGGAAGGCTGAGACAAGAGGGCTGTAAGTTCAGTGTCAGCCTAGACTATATACCAAGGTTCCATTCCCTAAAAAAGAAGGAAATCAGAGACACAGACTTCTTGGGGAAGGGCCGGGCAGATGGATTTAGAGAGGGAACACAGATCATATGGACCTCTATGACCCACATCAGTGTCCATCCAAGAGCGTTGCTGCAGAAAGGCACTGAAGACCTTGCAGTGAATAGGATCTGAGGGAGGTCAGCTAGTTTCTAGCAGCTCAATCACTGTGTCATGGGTCCATGAATAGGGTGATCAAGGCCATGGGGGCAGATACAGAGGTCATCACGGACGTGTAGTATAGTGATTTCCTCAAAGTTGATATATCCCATCTTGGAGAGAAACAGAAGACTCGGAATGTCAATGGGCATGGTGGTGCACACCTTTAATCTCAGCATGTGGGAGGCAGAGGCAGGAGAATCTCGGTTAGTTTGTGGCCAGTCTGGTCTACAGAGAGAGTTCCAGGACAACAAGGGCTACATAGAGAAATGCTCTCTCAATAAAACAAAGAAACAGGACTGGAGAGATGGCTCAGCGGTTAAGAGTATTGGCTGTTCTTCCACAGGTCCTGAGTTCAATTCCCAGCAACCACATGGTGGCTTACAACCATGTGTAATGGGATCTAATACCCACTTCTGGTGTGTCTGAAGACAGCAACAATGTACTCATACACATAAAATAAATAAATAAATCTTTGAAAAAAAACAAAAATAAAATAAAAAGCAAAAAGACTCAGGAAGTCAGGAAGTAAGCAACTGTTAAGCCTCAGGAAGCTCCTGAAACTGACCAGATGTACAAGGCCCCTCTAACCAGTTTGGACATCTAAGAGGACACAGACCAGCTGAGGCTGGAAGAAGCTGTCCTGCTAAGCTGCCTAGAAGACAGCTCTGACCTGTTGAGCTGCCTCCAAGTTGCTCAGTGAATTTCAGGGTCCCAGTTCTCATGAGTCATCATACTTGATGGGTTTTCAGTGATGCAGCTACCCTGAATTCTCCCTGTTTCTATAAGTAGCCCCTAACCTAAACTCTTATAAATAACCCCAATAAACACATGGGTTCACCAAGTCGGACTTTAGTGGCATTACCACTTTGTCTCTTGTCTGGAATGAATAAACATTGTGTCACATTTTTTCTTAGAAAAAGTTAACTGGAACGGGGCAATGTAACTCAGTTGGTAGAGTGCTTACCTACTATACACAGAGCCCTCGCTTCAGTCCCCACCAACCCATAAAATGGACATAGTGGTATACACTTATAATTCCAGCACTGGGAAGACGGAGGCAAGAGAATCAAAAGTTGAAGGTCATACGTGACTATATATGGAGTTTGAACCTAGCCTGGGATATAAGAGACTTTGTGTCAAAAAAGTTGTTTTTTTTAAAAGATTTATTTATTTTTTATTTATATGAGTACACTGCAGCTGTCTTCAGACACACACTAGAAGAGTGCATTGTATCCCGTAACATCCTCTCATGTGTCTGCTTCAGTAAAACACCCTCTCACTAGACAGCTTTCAGAAAAACATCCCTTGACAAAACTGAGTTTCCAAAGAAATCAGAAATGTCCACTTCAGTAACCTCTGGTAGTCACTAACTTTTTCTTTGGTCTGCAGATAGGAAGACCCAAACATGGCCAAGAAGCAGCTGGGGTGCTAGGGATTGGACCCAGGACCTCACACATGCTTACAAAGTGCCCAAGCATGGAGCTACAGCCCTAGTCCTATTGTTGGCTTCAGGGTAGAAGCCAAGAAAACTCACTTCAGATACAGATGCTTAAATATGAGAGCTTTATTTTCTTAGCACTCAGGGAGTGGCCAGTTGAGGATCTGAACTGTGACCCTAAGGGGAAGCTGTACTGCATTCTTAAAGAATGGGGACACAAAGCCAGGAGGGAGCTGGGGGGGTGCTGCAGTGTTATCCAATTGTATTTTGACAATATGGGTTCATCAAGGTAGTACCTGTTGGAGACTGGGCTGCCTCCAGGGCACCTGGCTTCAAGGTCCTTAATTCATTCTCCTAGATGTTAGGTCCAGAGCTCAGAGTGATAAGGGGATAAAGGTCAGCCCCAAGTAATTACATAGGGCACAACAGGCAATTGGTTATATATTATTATAACTTATGCACCCTTGTTTGTTTGTTTGTTTTTTCAAGACAAGGTTTCTCTGTGTAGCCCTGGCTGTCCTGGAACTCACTCTGTAGACCAGGCTGGCCTCGAACTCAGAAATCTGCCTGCCTCCGCCTCCCAAGTGCTGGGACTAAAGGCATGAGCCACCACTGCCCAGCTGCACCCTAGTTTAAATAACAGCAATTTCTATATTCTTTACTGGCTAACAGACAAAACATTTGGAGGTGTGGGATAGGCATTTGTTCCTAGGCCTGGGAACATGAACGTGTTTGACCCTGCCAACGAGATGGAGAAGTTGTCCCTGAGATGGCTGAACTCAGACAACTGTTTATAACAAGCTGTTCTGCTATAGGGAAGTCCCTGGCTTCCCTAGGGTCTGGGACCTTGAATTTAGCTTCTGAAAATGAAATGGCAGTTGCTTGTTCCCAACACTGTAATTTGGGGTGGGGGGTGGGGGCCTGGAGAGATGGCTCAGCAGTTAAAAGCACTGACTGCTCTTCTAGAGGTCATGAGTTCAATTCCCAGCAATCACGTGGTGGCTCACAACCATCTGCAATGAGATCTGATGCCCTCATATGGGTGTCTGGAGACAGCTACAGTGTACTTACATTAAAAAAAAAAAAAAAAGATGAAAAAAAAAAAAAGAATATAAGTAGAGCCACACAGATAGTGAAAGGATGCTCTTGCAGTGTTATGGCTTGCAGTGCTTCACTGGTCTTTGCTGGTCTCCATTTGTAGAGAGAAAAGCACCAAAGAACTTCTCAGACTTGTCATTGGCTGGTACTTGCCATTTCTGCTGACTCATACCGATTCTGCAGAACCTTGCAGTTTCTGCTGGGTTGAGCTGCTGCTACTGATTCATGTTTGGTGTTTGCTATTGGACTGGTCTGCTGTTATCCTGACAACAAAGAGTGGAATTGCCCCAAAGAACTACTTCTTTTTTTTTTTTCTACCCTTCTTTACTCACCTGAAGGGCTATTTTTTTTTGGGGGGGGGTTGGTTTTTGGTTTTTTCGAGACAGGGTTTCTCTGTATAGTCCTGGCTGTCCTGGAACTCACTCTGAAGACCAGGCTGGCCTCAAACTCAGAAATCCTCCTGCCTCTGCCTCCCAAGTGCTGGGATTAAAGGCGTGCACCACTACCGCACGACAGAACTACTTCTAAACAGTTCCACAACCCCTATTTTCTATAAACCTTCTTCCTCCTTACCTCTAGTCAATGGGCTAGAAGGGAAGTTGAAGCCTTCTAGAACCCCAAATAAAGCAGGTTTAGAAAGAGCTAAGCCTACAGGTTACTGTCTCTGTTTTCCATGAGGAAAAGCCCCGTGTCAGGGATAAAAGGGGTCATGTCTAGGACTCAGGGACCTTTGGGGGTGGGGGATTCCATACTCCCATTCTCCTAAGTAGGGAATCCAAACAATCCGGCCTGACAAAGGAAGTGAGACCAAGGTTCAGTTTGCTCAGGAGCGAAGATTCAGTTCGTCCCACCAGGAAGACAAGGTGGACCAGCCAGAGGGCTCTCAGGGAGGAGAATGCAGAGTTGTAGAGGAAAGACATCACAAGTAACAAGAGTTCTGGATTGACAAACACAGCCTATGCCATTCTATACCATTTGTCCTCTGGTTACCTTTTGGTTTTCTGTGTTTTGAGGCAAAGTCTCACTGTATGGAGCTGGCTGGCCTAGAACTTGCTATGGAGACCAGGCTGACCTCCACCTCAAGATTCACCTGCCTCTGTCTTCCAAGTGGCGGGATTAAAGGCATTTACCTCCATAACCAACAAGTATTTATTTATTTATGTATGCGTATGTATATACATATGTATATGCAGGTGCATACACCCATCCATGTGCTCAGAGACCAGAGGAGGAATCTAGGTGTCCTGCTTTATAACCTCTGCCTTATGCCTATGAGACAGAGTCTCTCAGTAAACCTTGAACTAGGCTCATACCCCAAAAGCCCCAGCAAGCTTCCTGTTTCCACGTTCCATGGTGCTGGGAATTCAGGTACTCAGGCTTACTCAGCAAGCACTTACCCACTGGACCTTCTCTCTGCTTGTCTTCTTTTGAGGTTGCTTTTTGCTTGAGATAATAAGATCTGGCTGTAGAGCCCAAACAGGCCTTGAACTCCGGATCACTGAACCTGTCTGAGTCTCTGTTTTACCACCTTCAAATGCACAGAATGTCACCTAGCACCTCACAGTCATGGGTCATATGCATTTATACTTAATGCAAAGTCATTGGCGTGTCATCTAGTGTCAATCAATCTTCTCTCTGCAGCTCTGTCCCCAAACAGTACACACACACATGCACAGCACAGCACGATCCCTAAAGAACACAACTGAGACAAGGCAGGTATCTCACAAGTTCTTTATTTCCCACATTGGCACATACATCAATACAAAGGCTGACGAGCTACAAGACTATGAAGCGCTGCAGAAGCAGGGCAGGCGCCGAGGCCATAGCTCTGTGCGAGCACAGATGTGGAGAAGGGTAGAACTCTAGAAGGAAACTCACAGGCCACAGGAGACAGAGGGACACAACCCTCACTCAGATACACTTTACATTACACACAGTGGTAGAAACGGATAAAGGTAAAAACCAGGGAAAAGGACCAGGTTCCAAAAGCCAACCAGGGCTGGGGAAGTCCCTTTACATGAAAGGTTCAAGGGATAGAGAGGATCCCCACAATAACTGCCTACCCTAGGGGCACGCCCACTCACACCCATCTCAGAGCTGGGTCTGGTAGCCAGCCAATCTGCCCACAGGTCGCTTCTCCTCCTGGGACTCCAGGAGCTGCAGCTTTGGCCACAGTTTCAGAATGAGGGACTGGGGTTCTCTCAGCCTGTCCTACAAGAAGAGGCAGGTCTACGAGGACAGAGGGAAAACTTCTGGCAGACGTGGGGGTGGGGAGGTCCTTTCAGAGGAAAGGAAGGAAGGGTGGGACTTGGCCAAGCAGTAGAACGAGGGGTCTCAAGCTGTCTGTGGGGCTTCTTCAGGCTGCTGGGAAACAGCGAAGCCAGGAAGAGAAGGGGGTGGACGTGAACCAGGAGCCAGACCACATTCAAATCCAGTCAGCCCTATCAGGAGACGACAGAAAACCACCACTGGCTCTTACTCAGGTTTCCCGTGGTCAGCCATGAAAGTGCTGACTGCTCAGCTTACAACCTGAACGATGTTACTGTGCTGTAGCCAGTGATGTTCCACCCACTGGTGCCAAAAAAAGGGGGGGGGGAGCATCAGAACGACATGAAGGAGGCTGCCAAAACTTCAGGTGGAGTGCAGGGATGGAAGCAGGAGGTGTGGACAGCAGTGAGACCAGGCCAGGGGTTCAGTACTCATAGACACCAGTTCAGAGCTGCTCCTAGCTGTATGACCTTGGGCAAGTCATCTCAGATCTCTGAACTTCAGGTTCCTCTTCTAATAAATGGTGCACAATCACATCTACCCACCCACAGGGCCATGAAGACGAAAGGAGCTAACACAAAAAAAGATCAAATGCTAAATCATCTGATTTCACGGACTGCTCCTCATAGGGAGGACCTAAAAGGCCTGCCCTCAGAGCACGTAACTCCCCAAAGCTGGGGTTTCTAGATAGGCAGAGGAGACCCTGAACCACCCCTACCACCCTGCAGAAGTCCCACACTCACCCGGGGGATTGGTCCAACTGTGGCCTTGGCTGGCAGAGGCCTTTGTTCCAGGCCTAGGTGGCCCCAGAAGGCCCCTCTTCCTCCCTGGCACTGGGAGAATGAGTGGCCCTGTCCTCCTCCAGCCTCTGAGAGTCCTGGGTTGGCACTCTGGGCTGCTGCTCCACGATCCCGCCCCCCATGTTTGTTTGCTGCTGCGGGGTTGGGGAGTCTTGGGGGTAGAGGAATTAGGGATGAAGGATAGGACAGAGATAGGAAGTTGAGGTACAGAGGGGTGTATAGCCCCACCCTGATTCCCAGTTCAGCCCCCCAGGAAGAAGGTGGATGGACAGCTGGACTCGTAAGCACATTTTGCGTAAATCAACACTGAGGCACCAGTTCTAGCCAAGGGGGACTGGAGGCAACTATGTAAATAGTATGCAAAGTCCATGCAAATCAGCACACTGAGTAGGACCAAGTTGAGGTAAGCGAGTGCTTGGGGGGGTCTCACCTACTGTCACCTCTCATAGGGTTGATGACCGAAAGCTTGTCCCACTGGCAGGAGGGTGTCCTCTGCGGGCACACTCACCTTTTGGGGCCACCTTCTGCTTCTGCTGCTTCTTAGAATGGGCTTCCTGCCAGCTGGACAGTTGCTGGAGGACGGACTTCATGTCCAGACGGGAAGGGTCCAGGCCACTGGCCTCCAGGGCAGAGACCACCACACTCATCCTTGTGGCCTCATCCACCTCCGGTTCCACCTCCTCCCAGGCCTCGGTCTCCTCAGATGCCTGCTCTGTCTCTTCTGCCAGCCCATCCTCAGCCGTCCCCACCTCTTCTATGGCCCCCAGCTCCTCCTCAGGAACCAGCTCCTCTGGAGCCTCAAAATCCTCCGGTGGCTTGAGATCTTGCGGCGGTGGGCGTGGCCTCGCCCTCTGCTCCTTCTTTCGCTCCTCCCTGCACTGAGTGTCACATCTAGGCAAGGAGACAGTGAGGTCTTTCCACATGTGACACTCTGGTACTTACTCCACAAACCCTGACAGTCCATCCCCCACCCCAGCTGTCCCAGCTAGGAGTGAGGGAAGAGAGAATCATCTTCAAGGCTTCCAACACCCAGCCCATTCCCCCAGCATGAGGGTTATCAATACCAAAGAGGTTCCTTCTTCTCCACTTCCCACCCTCCAGTCAGAGAAGAGCAATTGGGATATTTCATCCCAGAGCCAGTTGTCATAGAAACAAATCCATTATAGTAAGGCTCAGATGGGTCAGATGACTTGCCCAAAGGACACAAAGGAGCCAAATTGGGACTGGGTCCCAGGTGTTCCTAACAGCTGGGCTGTTCACCTCTCAGATCAATCAGGTGAAGGAAAGAAAAGCCTTAGACTCCATCAACATGGAGCAGGTGTAAACCAAATAGCCACCTAGGAGGCGATATCTAAATGGAGAGGGCACAGCCATTCCCAAAACAGTGAGCAGATGGGCTGCCCCCAAGAACACAGATTTCTCAGTTTTCCAGTCACAGAACTAGCAACAAGTGGTTGTCCAGCTACTGAAATGTGAAGACAGATGATGGGGAGCCCTTAGGTCACCCCAGGTTTGATGTCTCCCCCACAACCATCTTATTAAGTCCTTAACAGAGAACAGAACCTTTGGGGTACTGAGGAAGCTCAAACTGCAAATTCCCTGGGGCATAAACATATTGAAAAGTCACAGGGAGCTAGGCATGGTAGCACCAGTCCTGGGAAGGCAGAGGCAGGTAGATCTCTAAGTTCAAGGCCAGGGTGGTCTACAGACTGAGTTCTAGGACAGCCAGGGATATACAGAGAAACCCTGTCTCAAAAAAGAAAGGAAGGGCCGGGTGGTGGTGGCGCACGCCTCTAATCCCAGCACTTGGGAGGCAGAGGCAGGTGGATTTCTGAGTTCGAGGCCAGCCTGGTCTACAGAGTGAATTCCAGGACAGCCAGGGCTACATAGAGAAACCCTGTCTTGAAAAACCAAAAAAAAAGGAAGGAAGGAAGGAAGGAAGGAAGGAAGGAAGGAAGGAAGGAAGGAAGGAAGGAAGGAAGGAAGGAAGAAAAGAAAAAGTCTCAGGTAGAAACGACCAATCCCCATGCAGAGTCCACAGAGCTAGGCAGTGTGAGAGAGGCAGGATAAGGAGGCAGGAAGGATGCCAGGAAAAGCAATGGAGGTCAGAACATTAGGGTCAACCATGTCCCACTCTGAGAAGGTAGTTGGCACTGGGTGGACCAAAGTGAACCAAGCAAGCCTAAGGATCCCAATAACGCACCTCTCCATGAAATACGCAGGATCAGTGATGAACTTCCTCAGAGATGTTCGGAGTTCCTCAGCCAGTGTCTCTGGGAAACTCGGAAGTGCATCCTACAGCAAAGAGGGGAGACATTCCACCCACACACTCACAGAAAAAAATAATCTGAGGGCAGAAATCAGCCAAGCAGGGCTGAAACACAGGGCACACCGAGGTAAAAGAGCGCCCTCACCAGAGGCACACTGTATCCATAGTGGGTGACAGAACCTGTAGGCATTGAGGAGCGCTGACGATGGCTCTTCCCATCCTCCTGGCGTTCACGAGGCCTGCTCCCATAATCCTGCATGTGGGAGCCAGCTCGCAGGCTCTGCTGGGATCAGGGGTATCCAGTCAGGCACTCTGCTTGCTTTCGCAGAGACACAAGCAAAGATCCCAGCTCCAGATTCAAACAGTGAGATTCTGGGTGACCCTGGACAAGATCCTGGATCTCTGCCCTATTCAGGCTTCAAATGAGCAAATACCTGCTGGGCCATGGGCCAGTCAGGGTTGGGGTGGGGGGGCTAGAAAGGCTCTGCTTGCAACTTGTTTGTCTTCTTTGGAGAGCCAAGTAGTCTCCAGGGCCTGCATTCCAGATCTGGGCCAGGGAATCATGGAACCTCACCTCTGAGTGGATTCCTTTCTCTGAGGCCAGCAGCTGCTGCAGTTTCTCAGTCTGGGCCCCATACTGGAAGAAACCATGAAGTGTGAGACGCCCTCTCCCCCAAGGCCTCCCACTCCTGTACCTCCTGCCCCAACAGTCTTCCCATATAAGAGTCTCTGGCAGTCCCTTTAAGAAGTCACAAGGAATGGGAATCATAAAGTATGGGTCATGCAGCCTGGTTTTGGGAGTGTGAAGGATCCTCTCTGTGTGGACTTGGTGAGGGACAAGGCTGGGCAGGATGAACAGCTCTCTGGTTATCTCTGCCAACTCTGATGCCTACACAGGGAAGGGCTTTGGGCCTGGCAGAGCTGCTTACAGACTGACAACGCTGTTGTAGCTTGGTGATCTCGGCCTGCAGCTGAGTGATCTCCTTCTGCTGCCTCTCATAGCCTTCCAGCCTCAGCACCAGCACCTCCGATAGCTCTGCCATCTGCTGGCTGGCTTCAGCTACAGGACAAGCACACATCAGCCATGGCTCTGGGCCTCCGTCCGCCACCCCTCAGGGGTCCCTCAGGGCTTTGGCATTCTTCCCCTGGGTGTCTGTCTGTCTCTCTCTCTCTCTCTCTCTCTCTCTCTCTCTCTCTCGTTTTTTTTTTTGTTTTTTGTTTTTTTGTTTTTTGAGACAGGGTTTCTCCTATAGCCCTGGCTGCCCTGGAACTCACTCTGTAGACCAGGCTGGCCTTGAACTCAGAAATCCACCTGCCTCTGCCTCCCAAGTGCTGGGATTAAAGGCATGCGCTACCCACATGCCATCACTGCCCTGCCGGTCTCCTTTTTCAAGAACCACTTATTGACACAGAGCAGGGGACTGGGGAATGTCTTGGTAAGGCCGGATCCCTGTCCATACCGAGTGCCAGTACAGTAGAAACAAGGGAACTCATAATCCCAAATAGTATGAGGTATGATGTCAAGGGAGGAGTAAAGGAAAGGGTCCCTCAGGTGGAGCATCTGACTAACTCAGTGCTGCAAAGTCTGAGAGGCATTCTGGAAGGAGCCACTGGCTATGTAAGCCCCACCACATGGAGAAGGAAGAAGCAGAGTATGGGCAGTGAGGGAGGTGGGGGCAGGGCAGAGCATGGACCAGATCACAGAGGTTTGGGGAAGGGGTTGGTTGAAGTTATCCTTGGACCAGTGGGAAGCCATTTTGGAATTTTTGTCACATTAGTGATGGAGCCACATTTGGTTTCAGAAAACTCGACTTGGCTGTAGGAAAAAGGACCTGGATGGGCAGAGACCCCATTATGAGGCGTCATGGGCTAGAGACACTAAGACTTGCCTGCTGTGGCTTGCAGGGGAAGGAAGGACAGAGATGAGATACGGAGAGAGCATAAGCTATCCCTTTGAATCTGCATCTTAGCAGGTAGGCTGGAGGTCCTCAGGACTGACAAAGGCCAAGATGGTGCCAGGCACAGCCCAGGCCCAGTGTGTGACTGTGAACTGCCCCAGCCCTAAATGCCCAGGCTCTGGCAGCTCCTGACTCCCTCCTCACCGTCCTGTCTATCCTCCCGGCTTATACTGTCCCAAACAACAGACAGACTTTCATGACCTCTATGGCTTCTGCAGTGCTCTACACTTTGCACCAAGCACTCCTCAGCTCTCCCTGCCCATCCCCGTCTCCCCAGAGTCTCATGTAGATGGTCTTCAACACCCAACCCTCCTGTCTCTGACTCCTGAGTGCTGAGATTACAAGTGTGCGTCACCATGCTCAACAATGGTGCTTCTCCTGACCCTCATCAAACCTGAGAAGACGAGGAACGGGCCGTGGTTATCAATCCTCATTCTAAAGATGAAGGTTCAGAGAAGCCAAGGAATTTGTCTGTGCTAACACAACTACAAGGTTCAGAGCCAGGGCCTCAGCTCAGATCTCCAGGCTCCAAATCCTGAGTTCTTCCTATCATCTCTTGGGACGGTGCCCTACCCTGAATGACAGTGACACGTACAAAACTGCTCCACACATTCCAGAATGAGCATCTGCTCTTCGTCTTCCAGGTTGTCAAGGTGGGAGGCCTGGAGGAAGGGAAACAGGGAAGGGGTAAAGCTGTCACCATCCCCCAGTCACCATCCCCTGCCCAAGGGCACGCCCTCCTCCTTGTCCTCACCTCCTCTCGCAGGTGGTCATTCTCTTCCTCCAGCAGCCTCAGCTTCTGCTGCAGGGCTTCCAGCTGTGGGCAGTGGTGCCCTGTCTCAGCCTTAGGGGGGCTGGCAAGGGGGCAATAAGAGGCAACCAGTAAGGGGTGGAGGATCCCAGTCCCCAAGGCTTCCCCAGCCGTGGCGACGTCAGCAAGCTAACTTCCCATGCCCATTTACAAATGAGTAAATGAGAGATCCAGGCACAAAGGCAGAACACATACGGCTTGGGAGCACCATACGGATGGTCATGCTGCTGACTGTGATCCCTCTGTCCTTCTCGGTCCTCCTCTTCGCCCTCTTCCTCTTCTTCCTCCTCTTCCTCCTCGTCATCGTCATCAGAGTCCGAGTAGAGCTGAAGGAGGTCATCGCGCAGGTTCACCTGCTTCCGGAGATGTAAAATCTAGGGCGGGAGAGAGAAGCCACGGAAAGGTGAGTACACGGGCAGAGCAGGTGCTAGTCTGGGGAGGGGACACACTGAACCCTCCTCTTGGTCCCTGGGAACCCAGATACCTCCTCCCTGGCTGAGCCCAGCATGGTTTCCAGTTTATTGTTCTCCTCCATCAAGACACTGTTCTGTTTCACCAGGGACTGGCCGATTCGAGCAGCTGTGTTCAGGTCCCGTTCTTTCTGCAAAAGGAGAGCCAACCATTCCAATATATCCCCAGTTTCTGGGACACCCCTCCCCCAAACTAGAGGGAGAAACCAGAGCTAGGAAACAAGAAGAATGTTTTCCCCAGCACCCAGTCGTCCAAGTACTAAACCAATGACTACTAACCAACTCGGGGGTCTGACTCAGTTTCTCATCATGAGAAAAAAATAAGATCATCTCAGATTGGTCCTCTGAAATCTACTTGCCTTCCAGGAAACGGGTCCTCAAGTTGGCCCCCAGGCAAGCAGAAAACAGACAAAAGCCCTAAGTCCTGTAGGGCAGTTAAAATGAGGGCTGGTCTGAGTGAGGAAGGCAGTACCCACCTCTTCCAACAAATACAGCATCACTTTGACATCATCTTCGGTGATCTTCTTCGTGGGTGGTGGATTAGGACACAGTGCTGCAGGAGGAAAGGCCTGAGTGGGTCCGGGAAGGGGCTGAGGCTGTCCACTGTCCACCACATCCCTCACGACAGAAATTATGAGACTGTGTCGCTCCATCTGGCCCTAACACCCTCTCCACAGCTCCAGACCTCCCCATTCCTGCTTTCTCAGGAGGGGCCTGGGTGCTGTAAGGGCAAAACCATCCTCTGGGCTCAGGAGCTGGGTTTCTGGTCCCTCGAGATAAGAAGTCGGAGGAAATACTGGACTCTTCATGCCTGACCCAATCGGCAGCTTAGCCAGCTCACTGGAGCCTCCTCGATCATAAAAACAGATGCAGTCACCCATCCTAAAACCTGTTGCATGTGACAGGAGGGCCAAGTAGGCTTCTTCAGCATCAGAAGCGGGCACCTGAGCCTAAAATTGCCCCCGCCCAGAAGAGGAGGGACACAAGCCCAGTGCCCCGCCTACTCCTCCCGCTTCCTTCCAGCTCCGGGAAAGCGCGATCCAGACCCCTGCGGCCAAGTAGTGGTCAAAGGCTCCCCCAACCTCCACCCACCCACGCTAGCTGGTCCTGTGGGCTAGCGCAAGCTCAAAGCGCAGCCGGCAGCTCACCAGCAGCCCCCGCCCCTCTGCTGGCTCTGCGGTAGACGGGGAGGGGACATTGAGAGTGCGCAGATCTGCCACAGCAACAGGCGCGAAGAGGGGGGAGGGAAGCGCGAGAGAGCTCTGGACCTGACGCACCCACAATAATCGGGGAACCGGAAAGGGGGGGAAAGATGGGGAAAGGGAAACCAAACAGGCGCTGCAGACTGTGGTTTCCCGGGGGTGGTGGAAAGGTGGAACTGAGAGCCACAAGGGGGCGGGGCGCCTGAGTCGGTGGGCCTCCCCCTACCTGGAGATGCCCTAATAGCTCCCAGTGCGGGATCCCGGAGACTCAGTTTACCTTCCTGCAGCTCTCGAATAAACGCCGCGCGCTCAGGGCCAGACACACCGGGCCTCCGGCCGATGTACGCGGCTGGTGTCTTCCAGATTCCCTCGGCCTTTCCCTTACCCAGGCCAGTGGCCCGGGGACCGTAAGGCCCCTGGAATACGTAGCGGGTCCATGGTGCGTCCGAATCGCCAATGATCATGGACCGACAAAAGCTTCCTGTCTTGACTCGGGATCCTGATTTCTGTCCGGACCCGGTTCCCTGCGAGGGAGCAGGTTTGGGCTCCGCCGAGGGCTCCGGAGCGGGACCCGCTGCAGGTTGGGTCATGGGGGTGCCTCCTGCTGGGTCCCCCGACCCTGTCCCGTCTCCCGCACCGCTCTGCACCTGCTCCTTCGGGCGCATCTTGACTCCGCAGTCCGCTGCCGCAGCCGAACCTTTATAACCTGCGCTCGGAGCGGGGTTCCACTGGGCTGTACCACGCGTGGCGTTGGGGGTGACCGTTGATCAATTAGTGGTGCCGAGGACTCAGGATCGTGCAAGAAAGCAGCTAGCGGTGACAGAATAGGAAGTAAATAAAAGAAAAAGAAAGAAAGAGATGAACCAGTGCCTAGCTCATTCTGTGGGATCGAGTTCACGGTGATGGATTTCTCTTCCCTTCCATCTTCTGAGAATGGTTCTGTCCAAAGCCGCGGCTTCCCTGGACTTGAGTAGAGGGACCCGTAGCTTCTGCCTAGAAACAAGCCCCCCCCTTCACCCCCCGCGCGCGCTCCCGCCACCCCAGCTTCCAGGGGCTCTCTCTGTTTTCCTACCCAACATTGAATACAGACCGAGGTGACCCGAGAATGGAGGCAGTACGCCTGTGTCTTCCCAGGTGGATTAAGCGAGAAATCCAAACTCCGCTGTGGCTTTCAACGTGTTGCGTGTCATCCACAGGTCCTCGCGCTCACACTCCCACACTCGCCCCTGGACGTCTTCCATCTTAGTGCTTTCACTCGTTCTTTATCTCTAACCCTAATTCGCAAGCCCTACAGTTCAAGCAAGCACTTGTTCTTCAAACATTTCAAAATGAGCATCTTCGGAGAGGATCCTGCTTAAATGTTTCTCTGTGACGACTCATCAAGACCCCCGTGTATACACACACACACACACACACACACAAAACACACACGCTCGCGCGACCCAAAACATCCCTTATCCCAGTGTCTGAAAGGATCGATGTCGGTCTTCACCACTTTACCTGTGCTTTTCAGCTCATGGACCGTGTGCTCCCCAGAAAAAAATGGATACTTTGGAAGCTTCCTCTCAGTCCTGAATGAACTGGGATAAGGGGTGGGAGCTAGGGAGGGCAGTAGCCATTTCTGTGCTTTTAGACTGGGAGACAGGCTAAAAGGAGGTGGGGACTCGTGGGCTCGCCTCAAAATTGTTCTTGATGTTTTCCATTCTCCTCCGCCATCCTCCAATTTGCCAATCCTATTGACTTTACCTTTTTTAAAATATTTATTTTTAATATTTTTTGTATATGGTGAATGAATGTGTCCATGTCCCTGGGCAGAAGTCTGTGGTCAACATTAGATTTTTTTTTTTTGAGACAAGGTCTCTCATTGAATCTAGAGTTCAGCACTTTGACTAGACTGACTGGCCAGTGAGCCCCCAAACATAACTCCACCCTACCCCTGAGCCTTGGGATTTACAGACAGGTGCTGCCATAGCAGACCTTCACGTGGATGCTAGGAATCCAAACACAAACCTTTATGTTTACACATAAGACAGAGACAGTTTACACATGCTCACACATATGTATGTATGTAAATACACACAGACAGATGGTTTTGTTTGTTCCTATGGCTGTTTTGCTTGCTTGTATATCTGTGCACCACTTGCATGCCTGTTTCCCACAGAGGCCAGAAGAGGGCATCAGATTCCCTGGAACTGGAATTCCAGATGGCCATGAACTGGGAAAAGAACACTGGAAGAGTAACCTGTGCTCTCAACTACTGAGCCATCTCTTCAACACCCCCCTCCCTCTCAATCACCCCACCAAGCCATCTCTCCTATCCCACCCCCCTCCGATTTTGTTTTGTTTTTGAAAGAGGGTCTCACTCTGTAGTCCAGGCTAGCTTAAATTTCACTATGTTGCCTAGACTGGCCTCAATTCTCCTGCCTCGGATTTTCTTGGGAAAGTCTTGTGAAATACAAGTCACATCCAGCTTGAATTTGCCTTTTAAAAACTCCTCAAATATAGCAAGTTCCAGGCCAGCCAAGGCTACAGAGTGAGACCCTATCTCAAAAAAGAAAACAGGAACTGCTTTTCAAATGTATGTCTTCTGTTCCAATATATACATAATATATACATATTTGTGTGTTTTGAAAGTGAAGCACTCCTTCTTTCTTCTCAGATTGCTGTGTTATCCAGCCTCCTCCTACACCTCAACACACATCCCACACAGCTGCCTTACCCCATCCTGGGTCCAGGAACATTCTCTTATCTAGCTTGTGGCCAGAGATGTACGTGTACTGTATATGCACATTGCAGTACTTGTACAAACATACACACACACACACACACACATACCCCACAAGCACAAATACACAAATTAGAATAGGTTCTCAATATGTTTATTGAATGAATACACACCAGGCATGCATGCGGTGCAGAGCCCTTCATCCACACATTTATCTTAGCTGAAGAACTCTGGGTACCACTTCCTCCTAGCATCCTTGTCTGAGGAATAGACAGGGCTGATTCTCAAGGGCTTGGCCTAGTAAAGAGGCTCCCAATGCATTTGGGGTCAGGTTTCCATACAGTCTAGACCGATAGAAACAACCCAGAAAGAATCAACGTGCCCCTCCATCAGTACCCTGTCAAGAGGCATTGCCATTCCAATATGTCTTTTTACCACATGTGGTAGTGTATGTCTGCAATCTCAGCCCCTGAGAGTGAGGCAGAAGGATCATGAGTTCAAGGTCAGCCTGAGCTCCATGGCAAATTTGAAGCCAACCTGGACTATGTATGTTTGAGGCTAGCTTGGGCTACATGAGAACATATCTTAAAGCCTTTCCCTTGAAAACAACATTTCCTTTTATTTATGTTCATTCATTCAGTAAACAAACATACTGAGTACCTATTCTAATGTGTGTGTTTGTACATGTGTGTGTACATGTTTGTACATGTACAGCAATGTACATGAACAACATATGTACATCACTGTCCAGAAGCTAGTTTTTCATCTTACACCTTTGACACAGGTATTCTTCTCCCCCTGCCCCTTTCCCTCTCTCTACCCTTCCCCCTCTCTCTCTTCCCTCTCCCCTCCCCCCCCCATTCCCCAGCACCAGGGTTACTGGCTCTTGCATCCATGGCCAGCTTTTCCCATGGATACTGTTGATCCAAACTCAGGCCCTCATGCTTAGACAGCAAGGACTCCTCCCCTCTGAGCCACCTTCCCAGTTCTGAGTGCCTGTTCTACATGTCAAATGCTGCGCTACACTAGGACCAGAGAAGGGAACAGGAGACACTCCAGCTCTGCTCTCCTGGAATTTGGAGTCTAGAAGGGAGACAGATAAACAAGAAAATGAGTCAGATAATCATGGATTTCACACCGTTCTCAGAAAGACACGAAGAGGTATGATTAAGAACAAACAAAGTACCCGCTCTCTGAGGGTGGAGGAACGCATCCACCGATGAGCCATTTTGCAGTACAGGTGTGGGCTGCTGCCAGTGTACCAGGCACACTCAGACTCTCTGTCTCCCTCCAGCAGCCTCCCTCCCTGGGGACCAGGGCATCTTATTCCTGACTGGTGGCTGGACCTTGATCCTGTGTCCCTTCCTAGTTCTGCATCCTTCCTATTCCCATCAGCCCCATGGGGATTCATCTACCCATTTCTCAAAAAGATCATCTTTTCAAATCAGATTGGTTTTGAAATATTGCTTCAACCGGGCGGTGGTGGTGCACGCCTTTAATCCCAGCACTTGGGAGGCAGAGGCAGGCAGATTTCTGAGTTCGAGGCTAGCCTGATCTACAGAGTGAGTTCCAGGACAGCCAGGGCTACACAGAGAAACCTTCCGAAAAACCACCGCCCGGCTAAAGATATTTTTTTTTATTTACTGTTCTATTGCTGTGAAGAGACACCATGACCAGGCCAACTCTTATAAAAGAAAATATTCAATTGGAGGCAGACAGGGATTTAATCCATTATCATCATGGCAGGAAGCAGATAGATATGGCACTGGAGCAGTCGCTGACAGCCTTGAGAGATTTACATCCTGATACACACAGAGAGAGGAGGGCTAGGGGGACACAGAGAGAGGAAAGACAGACTGGACCTGGTATATGCTTTTGAAACCTCAAAATCAACTCCCAGGGACATACATTCTCCAACAAGACTACACCTCCCATTCTTTTCCAAACAGTTCACCACCTATTTGTGAGCAAATGTTCAAACCTGTGAGTCCACAGGGGGACATTCTCATTCAAACCATCACAAGGTATATGGTATTACACCTGGCTAACTCCAAGGCAGTTCTACAAACCTGTTGAGAGTTGAATCAGGCCAGGATCACTACAGAGAAGGGAGAACACGGAAAGCTTGCCTTTTGGTATGAACAGAACTGTTAGCCATCTTAGTTATAGTGGGCTTCGTGGGTTTTTTTAACCTCAAGCCTCTAACTTATCTTTCAATCATTATTCACTCCTAACAAACATTTATTGAGCATTCTGACAGGCATTTGGGACCTATCAGTGAACAAAGAGACTAGATCTCTGCTGTCTTAGGGATCATGTGCTGGAGGAGCTACAAACAGAAGCAAAGAACTGAAGCCCAGAAGCCCAGCTCAGTGGCAGGCACCTGTAAGCAATCCCAGCACTCCAGAGGCAGGAGAATCAAAAACTAAAACAGCCTGGCCTACAAGTAAAAGGATGGGTATCCACTCAGAACCCCCAAGAACAAGTTCTCAACACAAAGGAGATTTATTTGCTTCAGGGGGACAAAGGGCAGGGATAAGAGACAGAGATAGAGGATGAGGGAGAAGGGGAAGAGAACAAGGGAGAAGGAAAAGAGGAATTTATCCAGAAGAATGGACAAAGGGCTGCCTCTGGATACAGAGGAGACTGATGTGGTCCATAGGAAAATGGTAGTTTGGGGCTGGAGAGATGGCTCAGGGGTTAAGAACACTGACTGCTCTTCCAGAAGTCCTGAGTTCAAGTCCCAGCAACCACATGGTGGTTCACAACCATCTGTAATGGGATCCAATGCCCTCTCCTGGTGTCTAAAGACATGTATAGTGTACTTATATACACTTTTGATGGATGGACTTCAATACTTTGATAGCTGAACCTTGGTGGTCAGCCTCAGAAGGAGGAAGTGACCAAATAAAGGAATAGACCTTGGTGGCTGTCTCTTGGAATGCCATCTAACAGTCTTTAGCAAGG